GGCCGAGTGGCTGGACGACGCCAAGCAGAAGCTGCAGCAGACGCTGCAAAAGGCGGAGACCTTGCCCGAGATCGAGGCCCAGCTGGCCCAGCGCGTGGCAGCGCTCAACAAGGTGGGGGGGGCCGCGGGTGGGGGTGGGCGGGGCCTTGAGTCTGTGTGTGTGTGGGGGGGTGGAGGGACCTGGAGGAGGCGGGGCTGTGTGTCTGGAGAGGTAGGAGCGGGACCTGCAGCCTGGATGCTGGGGAAGGGGGGCGGCCTGGGGTCGGGGAAAGGGACCCGACTTGGCATGAGGAGGGGGCGGGCCGGAGGGTTGCGCGGGCACGGGTTGGAAAGGGAGGTTCTCTAGTCTGGACTGAAAGGCTGGGGGGGCCGGAATCTGAGATGGATGGAAGTGGGCCTGAGAAGGTAGACTAGACACAGGGGCGGGACCTGAATCACAGGTGCAGGGGAGGGGCCTGGTGCTCTGGGGGCGGGGCCTGGCACTCAGCCTAGAAGGAGGCGGGGCTTGGAGCCGGGTGCATCCCCGAGGGTAAAGTCATATGCCATGGCTTCCGTCCACTAGGCTGAGGAACGCCATGGGAACTTTGAGGAGCGGCTTCGGCAGCTGGAGGCCCAGTTGGAAGAGAAGAACCAGGAGCTGCAGCGGGTGAGGGGACTGAGAAGTGAAGAGAGGGTTGGGTGGGCGGGGCTTAGAGAGAGGGGCAGGGTTGGGGCGGGGCTCAGGGCGAGGGTGGAGCTCTGGGCAGGATAGTCTTGAGCAGCTCTGCTCTCCCCTCGGCAGGCCCGGCAGCGGGAGAAAATGAACGATGACCACAATAAGCGGCTGTCCGAGACAGTGGACAAGCTGCTCAGCGAGTCCAACGAGCGGTTACAGCTTCACCTCAAGGAGCGCATGGGGGCGCTGGAAGAAAAGGTGCGCCCGACCCAGGGCTGCCATGACCAGGAATCCTGGACCCCAGACCCTTCCCCCAGACCCACTATCAGAGATCTCCCTAACCCTAGGCGTCCTGAATTCGACAGACTTCTCTGTTGTAGGGCACAGACCACTTTTTGCCCAGTCTAGACATTCCAAGAGCTGAATTCTGAGTCCTTGGCTTTGCCTAAAACCTCCAACCCTATGGACTCTCAAACCCGGAATCCTCTGGGATTGCACAGGAAGTTCCATCTGGGGCTCCCAGGACTCCTCTCCCCAGATGCATCTTCTCTTCCTCTCCTGCGAGTCGCTATTTGTGCTCATCTCATTCCTCCTGGGTCCCCTCAGGCCTGTCCTGAGCACTGGTGGCTGCGTGTAGCCCCTAGGGCATACCCCCTTCAGGTCCCGCTCCCTCACTCCGCCTCATCCCCACAGAACTCACTGAGCGAGGAGATCGCCAACATGAAGAAGCTTCAGGATGAACTGTTGCTTAACAAGGTAGACACACCTGGAGGGACAGGAGGAGGGAAGTAGAGCAGGGATCACTGAGGTTGGGGTCACCACGGCTGGTTCCCCAGGGACAGGGCAGATTCTGACCTGACACCTCCAACACCTGCACTCCAGGAACAGCTCTTGGCTGAAATGGAGCGGATGCAGATGGAAATTGACCAGCTGCGGGGAAGGCCACCATCCTCCTACTCCAGGTGACAGCAGCCCTCCTGCCCACCCTTGCCCACAGAGGCCCCTTGGCCGAGCTCACCCTTCTCATCCCCACTCCCTTGTCCTCCTGAGACTTCCTCTTGTTTTTGACCCTGACTTCATGACCCTTGGCCCCAGACCTGTCTCTGTGACCCCTGACTTCTGTTCTTTTTTCCTCTTGGTTCCTGACTGCACTCACGATGCCCGCAGGTCTCTCCCTGGCAGTGCTCTGGAGCTCCGTTACTCCCAGGCACCCACGTTACCTTCTGGTGCCCACCTGGATCCCTATGCAGCTGGCAGTGGCCGGGCAGGCAAGAGGGGCCGCTGGTCAGGGGTCAAGGATGAGTCCTCCAAGGTCAGCAGCTGCCTCTGGGGCTTGGACTGAGCAGGGCTCAGGCGGGCAGTGGTGGGAAATGGAATCCAATATGCGGGGCTCCAGGAGGAGGCTGGGTTGAGAGGCTGGGTCTCCTGGACTCACCATGTCTTCTCTCTTTTCCATGCCTTCTGTCATCTGCTCTTGCTTGAATATCTTTTTATGTGGATGCTCTGCTACCTGGTGAGAACCCGAGAGTAATGATGGGATGCAGGAAGGGGTATACAATCCCAGAGTGGGCGGGGCCGGGTATAGAAGAGAAGTGGGCGAGGTCAAGAGACTCAGAGGAGGGGACGGAGGCATGGGCGTGGTTTGGAGAGGGCTGAGGGAGGGACCTGTCAAGGGAGGAAGCTGGGCTGGGAAAAGTGTTGGCATGTGGTGGGTTAGGGGTGGGCAAGGTAAGACTCCGTGAGCAAAGACCTTCAGTGCCAATCTCGGCACCCACCCACCTGGCATCCCTTTGTCCCCACACAGAGACAGGATTGGGAGCGGTCTGCCCCTGCAGGCTCCATACCACCCCCATTCCCTGGAGAGCTGGATGGCTCAGATGAAGAGGAGGCAGAGGGGATGTTTGGGGCCGAGCTGCTGTCCCCCAGTGGGCAGGCTGATGTGCAGACCCTGGCCATCATGCTTCAGGAACAGCTGGAGGCCATCAACAAGGAGATCAAGTGAGCCCTGGCCCAGTCCTGCCCCGCCCAGCTTGAGCTGGCCCCACAGCCCCTCTTGTTCTGGGGACGAGTCTCTCCTGAGCCCATCTCCTGTCCCACTGTCCTCAAGGAACTCTCCCAACCCAACACTCCCTCTGGTGTCCAGGAATCCCCCAGGATACACCCAGAAGTCTTCCATGTGCTATAGGCATATAATATCCCCCAGCCAGCACTCATCATTTCCCAACATATCAAAGACTACACTCCCAAATACCCAAATTCTCAACTCAGTTACATTAGTGACCTTCCAATACACTGGATTTTGTGACTTTACATAAGCAAAACCCAGACTTTTTTAGTACCCCCAAGAATCTCAATAGAGCACAACAAAGTCCCCAATCCAAAATACCAATAACCTCATCCTAACACATTCATCAAGAACTTCAACTCCATATACCAAGAATTTCTACCTAATATAACAAAAGTTCTGAATTTATTAAGAAGTCCCTGGTGATGTAAATTATCCCTAATTCACTGGCAGTTGCCCTATTTTGCAATTCACCTATAATACACTCCCCATGGGCCCCCAGCAAATATACCAACATGACCAGCATCTTCCATTCAGACTCTGACATGATCTATTGACTCTCACATACTGAATGACTCCATGACCTTCCTTGATCCTAGACTGACCACAGGGTCTCTGATCTCACCCTGCTCTTATTATTATTATTATTATTTTTTTTGAGTTGGAGTCTCACTCAGTCACCCAGACTGGAGTGCAGTGGCCGCTCCTGGCCACCGCAGCCTCGCCTGCTGGGCTCTGGCGATCCTTCCGCCACAGCCTTCCGAGTAGCCGGAATTACAGGCGTGCGCTACCACACCCGGCTGATTTTTTGATTGATTGTAGAGATGAGGTCTCACTGCCCAGGCGGGTCTTGAACCTGCGGGCTCAGGCAATCCATTCACCTCAGCCTCCCAAAGGCACGGGATTACAGGCTGAGCCACCGAACCCGGCTACCCTGCTATATTATTACCTTGTTCTTGCATTCCTCCTTGAAACTTGACCTCTTGCCCATAGTAATCCCTTTATGATTTTCCAGAACCACTTGGTTTACCATCAGGGTCGCCTGAGGCAAACCCTGATCAGCCTGACAGCCATAATCCTTCCATGAATTCCTGAGACTATCATGACCCGTCCGACTCCTTTTGAACCTGTGAGGCTTTCACAAATCCACCAAAACCCTCTAACTTCATGGTGCTTTCCCCCAAATTCCTCCTGCCCCACCAAGTCTTTCTGGCATTTCTCTCTCTCTCTCTCTCTCTCTCTCTCTCTCTCTCTCTCTGTCTGCCACAGTTCTCTCACCAGCCTCCCCAATCTCCCTCCTCAGGCTAATCCAAGAGGAGAAGGACACAACAGAACAGAGAGCAGAGGAGTTGGAGAGCCGGGTTTCCAGCTCTGGCCTGGACTCACTGGGCCGCTACCGCAGCAGCTGCTCACTGCCCCCCTCCCTCACCACCTCCACCCTTGCCAGCCCTTCCCCTCCCAGCTCTGGCCATTCAACACCCCGCCTGGCACCCCCCAGTCCTGCCCGTGAGGGCACTGACAAGACTGTGAGTGTTCTGAAGTCTCCCTGGCTGGTGGGAGGATGGGCGGGGTCAGAAGCAGGGTACCTCAACACATGTCAACAATAACCCCTCATACCAGTGGTTTTTCTTTGTTTCTTTCTTTCTTTGAGTTGGAGTCTCTCTCTGTCGCCCAGGCTGGAAGACTGGAGTGTAGTGGCATGCTCATGCCCACTGCAACCTCGACCTGCTGGGCTCAGGTGATCCTTCCACCTCAGCCTTCCGAGTAGCTGGAACCACAGGCGTGTGCTACCGCATGACTAATTTTTTTTTTTATTATTGTAGAACTGAGGTCTCACCAAGTTGGCCAGGTTGGTTTTGAACCCCTGGACTCAGGCAATCCTCTTACCTCTGACTCTGGGATTATAGGCATGAGCCACTGCACTCAGCTTCCAGTGGTTTTTCAAAGCAACCTTAGCTTTTCCTAAAGGTTCCAGCTCAAAGGGCAAAGGGAAGATTGGGACATTGAGTTTCTGAACCCTAACCTGTCTAGTTTTACTTGTCTTATGCATCAAGTTCTGTAAGGATTTAAAAAAATGTTTCTGTGACTAAACATACATTTGAGAACTACAATTAGATCCTCAGAATTGACCTTTGAAGGAGGCAAAGAGATACTGGTCCTATTTTATTTCCTTGAACCTAGCTTTCCTGCTTCCAGTTCCTATAACTCATTCGATTTCGTTGAGATCGAGCATATCCCACTCCTGACACCAAAAGCAAAGCAACTCTAAATGTGAGCTTGTCAAGCTTCAGGGTCACTGTATTTATTGCCTTTTAAGTTTCTGAAACTCATCCCCACTTAATCTAGGGTGCCTTCAGATATGGTGACCAAAATAGGGCCATCCTGGACACCACTAGTAGACATTCCGATCAATGAGGCATCCCTAACATGACTCCTCCAACTTAATCCAGTGTCTGTGCCTCTCTGTTCCCAGAATCATGTCCCCAAGGAAGAAGCTGGTGCTCCACGAGGGGAGGGGCCAGCCATCCCAGGAGACACCCCACCTCCCACCCCCCGCTCTGCCCGTCTTGAAAGAATGACCCAGGCCTTGGCACTGCAGGCAGGGTCCATGGAAGATGGGGGACCCCCACGGGGAAGGTCAGCAGGGACAAGGGGTGGGAATAGGGAGGGTCTCGCTTGGGAGGATGAGGTAGGGCAGTGGACAAGGATTTGGGAGGAGGGGGAGTATCCCAGAAGGGCTCTGCCCTTATTCACTCCTGCTTACTCAGTGAGGGTACCCCAGATTCCCTGCACAAAGCCCCCAAGAAGAAGAGCATCAAGTCATCTATAGGCCGTCTCTTTGGCAAGAAAGAGAAGGGGCGGATGGGACCCCCAGGCCGGGACAGCTCCTCTCTGGGTGAGTACTCTAATTCCAACCCTTCCTTCCTCCATCCCTCCCTCCATTTCTTCCTTCTTCTTCTTTCCATATTTGTTTGACATTCGTCCTTGTCTTTATTCATTTAGCAATTTACTTAGGCTGTGGAAGGGACAGGACTTGGAAGAAGTAGACAGGAGGAAGAGGGAAAAGGAAAGGGCCTTCTGGGTGACTGGGTGGGCAAATGAACTTGTTATTTCGTTTACCAATTTGTTGTTTTTTTTTTGAGTTGGAGTCTCACTCGGTCACCCAGACTGGAGTGCAGCAGCCGCTCCC